TCCCATAAAATGTATATTATTAATATCTTTCACAACTGGTTTGGAACTCCCACAAAACTTGTTGGTTAGAGATAGATATAAATAAATAGATAGATATAGATATAGATATTTATATTTGTTTTAAATTTTTTTTAATATACAAATTATTTGTTTTGGAAAAGGTACTTCAGTAATTATGAGAGAAATCAAAAAGTCTTGTGGGTTGAGAGAAGTTAATAAATGCTGTGGTTAATTTTTAAAAAAAAAACAAAAAATTAGAAAATTAGGATTGGCATATTGGAGCTCCCACAGGCCTTGGGAGCTAGAAACCCCCTTTTGCTTAATATATAGTATAGATATAGACTAGTGGTAACCAGTGCTATGCACGAGACTTTATAAATTAAAAAAAAAATCATTATAATTATCTTAAAGTAATTTAATATTTTATCTTGTGGTATATATGAAATTTATAAATTAACTTTTATGTTTGTAACTTTTAAAATTATTAGTTTAAAAAATTTAAATATATATATATATATATATTTAGTGTAATTTTGATAATTTGTATTTGAAAAAAGTTAAACCTGATTAAATGAGATTAACTGAGTTATGACATATCTCTTCGTGTTATGAAAAAATACAAATTAAAAGTTATAATTAAAACAAATATATAATTTTATTATTAAATATGAAGTGAAATGATATTTAATAATAATTAATATGATGTTTATATTATTAATTCAATAATTTAAGTTACATTTCTTTTGATTTAAATTTCATAACTAAAAATACAATACGAATATAATACGCACACGGATTTCTAATCTTTATGAATAAGAAGGTTTCAAAATATTTTCAATTTTCATCATTTTCTTTTGATTTTTTTTTATCTAATTTGATTTTAAATTTGAATAAAAATTTTGATTTGATATAAATTACTTTAACTTTTTCATTAAATTTTCATCAATTTTGAAAAGAACTTTCATTCTTATCCTTTCTTTTTTTTTTCCCACCAATTTTGATGGAAAAAACAATAATTTCCAATGTTTCATTTTTTTTAAATTTTTATCAAATTATAATTTGATAAAAAAATATATTAAGGGTTGAAGATTCTCTTAATTGGAATAATAGTGAAATAACATCTTGAAATAGTCAAAATTTGAGTATATAATTGGTTGAAATGTATAATTTAATTAATTCTTTTTTTGGTTTTTATTCTTATCATATTTTAAAATTTTTTTAAACTAATAATTTAAAAAGTTATAAACATAAAAGTTAGCTTATAAATTTTATGTATATCACAATAGAAATATTAAATTATTTAAAAATAATTATAATAAATTTTTTAATTTATAAAATGCGTGCATAATACGGGTTACCACTAGTTGATATCATCTAAAAACTTTCTTTGAGTTTAATTTTCAATTACGCTCCATTGAAAATTAAAAGTTAAAGACAGTAGGTTGTTTTCGAAAAATATGTTAAAAGTTAGTTTTATTTATTTATATTTTTTTAAAAAATTATATAAAAAATAAAAAATAATATGATTTAAAAAAGAATAAAAACCAAAAAATTGCTTGTTTTTTATATCCTTTTAGCACTTTTATTAACAAGCAAGAAAACAACTAAGGCCAAGTTTGGGAAGACTAAAAAAGTGTATTTTTTGTCTTTTTAGACTAAAAAATTGAGGTTAAAAATATAGATGTTTGGGTTAACTTTTTGACTTTTTATTGAAAAATGTGTAATAAAAAATTGTAAAAATTGATTTGTAGAGAAAAATTTGAATTGGGAGTTGTGCAGCCGTAATTGTTGACTTTTGGTGAATAGTGTTAACTTTTTAGTTTTTTGAGTAACTTTTTGGCTTTTTGACTTTTTTGGATCTTCCCAAACTTGGCCTAACTATAAACCAGCTGATAACAACAACAGAGAATGATAGGGGGTGTTAGCAAGAAAAATTGTTATTTTGTTTGGATTAAAATTTATAAAAAAATAAAATAGATTTAAATAATTAATAAAATAAAATGTTAGATCAAATTTATAATTATTTTATTTTTTTTAATAAATATTATAAATTATATTTATAAATATAAAAATTTTAATCTATTAAAATAATTTATTAAAATAACAACTTCTCAAATACTCCACAGTGAGGATTGAGACTTTTCCTTGCGAGGTCGATCGCTTCAAGAAATAGTTAGCCGCTCCAATCGCATGTCATCCAGTCACAAGTCTAACAAATCCTCCCTAGCCCCCAAAACAGTACCTCCTCGGTACCTCCGAACAACCAACATTACAATTTTACTAATTTATTGGAAATATGTTAAGAATTTGAAATAATTTATTAAATTTTTATCAAATTTTATATGATTGTAAGACTTATGACATATGATTTTGTTCCACCCATATGAAAAATTTAATAAAATTTTAATAAATTGTTTGAGATTACAACATTTTTCAAATTATTATTATTATTAATTCAAAGCAAAACGATAAACCCAATGATTACTCGCTCTTCGTCTCTTCTCCCACCCTATTTTCTCTCCCCCATCTCTCAATTTTCCCGGAAAGTTTCCACTCATTCCTGGTAACTCTCTTTCTCTCTCTCTCTCTCTCTGCTTATTTGAGTTGTGTTTTCTTTATTTAGTTTTTGTAAATGCATGAAAGATTCAAAATTCAAAATTTCTTCTTCAGCAGCCTAATTTTCTTTGTATACAAACAGGAAATTTTCTTTGTATACAAACAGGGTTTTCAAATGTTGTTGTTGTTGTTTTTCTAAATTCTAGGATTTATTATGTTGGGCAGAATTCAGATGACCAACTTGTCCAATGAAAGTTTATATATATGCAACTGAGTATATTGATGATTAACATATTTTATGTTTGTTTCGTTGGACCCGATTACATGAGATTAGGGGTGATGGCTGAACTAAACAGCTTGTGCTCGACTCTTGTTGGGTTTGTTATAAGTTCGTTAAATATTAATTCATTAAGGAAACAAGTCAAGTTTGAACACCATTTGAAATTCGTTAAAGTTTTTAAACCAAGCTTAAACAGTTAATTTCTTGCTTGGCTCGGTTCGATAAAAACACCAAATTATTCAAACTCGGCTCGATAAAAGCTTGTTTGTGATTCGATCAAAAGTTTAACGAACTAAGCTTGAACAAATTTGAAGCTTGTTAAAGTTTTTAAACCGAGTTTGAACAGATAACTATTTGGCTCGTTTGGCTCATTTATCACCCCTACCCTACCCTACATGAGATGAGATGTTATGAGATTATCAACTCTTTAAGATTATATATTATCCCATGTTTGGAATTTACCCAGATTAGGAGGGGATTAGCATAATCCCATCCTATCTCATTGCTAGGAATCACTAGAAATAAGAAACATGGTGTTGTGACCATAGTTTGAGGACATTTTGGTCTTTTAACTCCCTAATCCTGACCTCCTTAATCCCCTATTTTGTATCTCCATTTGGAGGATATACAGTTTGAAGGACTGTCAATCTAAACGTCCACTTTTGTATTCGAAGGCCAGGATAAATAGTCATTATGTAATCCGATGGCCTAATCCCCCAAACAAACGCAACCATTAGAGACATTCACTAGACACCCATTGACATTTCATTTTGCTTCCATAAAGCCCTTTCATATTAAAGTTGTATTTGGATTATGAATTTGGAAAATGAAAGAAAAAATATGATGGAAATGGAGAAATTTTTTAGCTAATACGTCATTTACTTTTTCCCTAACTTTTTTCTTTCTCTCCACAAATCCTTACCCAAATCCTAGATCCAAATACAGCGAGCTGAAGTGTGTAACCTCAAAGTGTTTTATTTGATGTTTTAGAATGAGAAATTTTACTATCTCATGTTTCTTTTTGTTGGTTCATCCCATGTGAGCTCCTATTGGAGAGCCCACTTTCTCCACCCAATGGAAGTGGCTCTCCCACTCTACCAACCCCATTAGAGAGTGGAAGAAGGTAGGTGGTGACCAATGAGGCTCTCCCTCATTGGTGTATAAATAGAGGTTGAGGGGAGAGTTGAAATGGACAGAGAGAGAGTGAGAACCAAGAGAGATCAGAAATTGAGTGTGAGAGCTGTGAGTTGAGTGAGTTTTATCTCCTCCTCTGTAATTGTATTTTTGCTCCATTTTAGTGATAATTCTCATTTCTGTCCGTGGATGTAGGCATTGGGCCGAACCACGTAAATATTGTGTTCTCTGTGTGTGTGAGATAATTTTCTGGGTGTCTTTGATCCTAACACTTTTATGGTTCAACAAGGCCAACAAGAATGTTCTACCTAGTCTGTCATGTTCATTGTTTAGGCCCTTAGTAGATTGCATTTTCTCTGCACAATCCATTATTTTATTTTTTTTTCCTTCTTGTAATTTCTCTAAGCTATGCTATGGTATCCTCAAAAATCTGATAAATGTGACTTACAGGATTTCTTGGGCTACATTAGGGAGATCTTTTGACAGAAAGGTATGGGTGTAGTTGATACATTAGGGATTTCTTGGGCTACATTAGGGATATCTAATACGTCATTTACTTTTTCCCTGACTTTTGTCTTTCTCTCCACAAATCCTTACCCAAATCCTAGATCCAAATACAGCGAGCTGAAGTGTGTAACCACAAAGTGTTTTATTTGATGTTTTACAATGAGAAATTTTACTATCTCATGTTTCTTTTATGGTTCAACAAGGCCAACAAGAATGTTCTACATAGTCTGTCATGCTCATTGTTTAGGCCCTTAGTAGATTGCATTTTCTCTGCACAATCCATTATTTTTTTTTCCTTCTTGTAATTTCTCAAAGCTATGCTATGGTATCCTCAAAAATCTGATAAATGTGACTTACAGGATTTCTTGGGCTACATTACGGATATCTTTTGACAGGAAGGTATGGGTGTAGTTGATACAAAATCAATTGAATCAGTCCAAGCTTCATTATCTTTGTTTGGTGAGAGAAGTGATCAGAGGAAAAACCAGTTTACCAGCTGCGATGTAAGTTGGGAATGCACAGTATTTGGAGGTTTTATTGTGATTAATCAAATTAAATTTGGACTGGTTGTGCATCTGAGGATTTAATTTTAAATCTGAACTATTTTCTTTCCGTGTCCAACACTTGTCTAATTGTCAGCACTTCTCAATTCCAAAACATGTTGTACATGTTTCCAAACAAGTTTTTTTTTTTTTTTTTAAAGACTTGGACATGCCTCAGACTCACTTACATACAAATGAAACATATTGCAGGTTTGAGAATAATAACTTAAGATAAAGAAAAAAAACTTTCGCTGATGGAAAAAAAGAAAAGAAAAGAACAATTAGGATTTAATGATAAAAGAAAAGCAATGTGCATTTTTACTTATTAATCCATCTTCCTTTAGATTTTGAAAATTCATGATCTGTTGCATATTTTTATCAAGTTTGAATGAAATATTCATGTGTGTGTGTGTGCATATGCACATGTGTGTCCCTCACGTGTCTTGTCCTGCATTTTTTAAAATTATTGTGTCACGTATCTGTGATGATAAGATGTTTGTTATTGCCATTGCTGATAGGAGTTGGAGAGAGAGAAAGAACTTGAAGACCTGTTGAAGGACTTGGCAAACTACAAGGTTCAATTAGAAGTGAAGGACTCTGCCTACAAGCAAGCCCTTCTCAAACTAAACCACTATCAAAAAACAGCCGATGAACTTTCCATCCTAGTGAAGAGTTCCGAGTTTGAGAAAGAGATATACATCAATGAATGCAGAGAAGGTCGAATACATGTGCACGAACTTGAATCTGAGATGGCTGATATGTCTGATCAACTATCCAAAAATGGAAAGATGCGAGAACAACTTTCTCATTTTATGAGTGAGTTGAAGACTTCACGAGAAGAGTTACTTATAATGGAAACAGATCTTGCTGCTGCCATAGATATGAAGCTTGAGGCCTTGACACAGGTGGAATTGATGGAAACCGAATTGCAAATGGAGAAGGAACGGACTGATGAGCTTCTGAGGCATGTGTCGGAGCTGAATGAAGCTATTATGCATTCAAAGATGGCATCTAATGAAGGAGATAAAGAGATTCGTGCTGTTCTAGCAAAAGAAGAGACTGAATTAGCGTTGGCGACAACAACAGCGGTTGAAGCAGAGGAAAAGTTGGAATACACGAGAAAACTACTAGAAGTTATGCGGGATTTGGAGAATCAGCTCATGAACAAGTCTGTTTTTATCGATTTGCTACAATTGGAACTTAATCAGGCTAATGAGCTACGCGGGTCCTCTGAGAAAGCTGCTTCTGATGCCATTAGTGAGTTAAACCAGGTAAAATCAGAGTTCAAAATTCAGGAAAGAAAGAGCTCAGATCAGTTGGGTAAGATTGAGTTTTTGGAAATGGAGTTGAATCAGCTGAGACTAGAACTTAAAAATGAGAAGGAAGAGGTGGAGCGCTTGGATTCAGAGGCTAAGAAGATGGAAGGTGAATTAGAGAAGGCAAGAAATGAGATGGAAGAGATTGGAGGAAGAGAGAAGGAAGCGCAAGTTGAGATAGCGATGTTGAAATCTGAGGTTCATAAAGGGCGGTCAAGAATCGCTGCAGCCGAGGCAGCTGAAGTAAGGATCAAAAGCGAAAAGTCAGGACTCTATCAAGCGGTTCAACAGCTAGCATTAGAAGCAGACGAGGCCAAGAAAGAGAATCGGAGGCTAAAAGAAGAGTCTGAGAATTCTGTTGTTGATGAAGATGGAAGAGACGAAACCGATGCTTGTATCAAGATTTCGAAGGACGAGTACGAGGGCTTGATTGAGAAGGCAGAGAAAGTTGCTGAGCTTGTGCCAAAAAATGAGTACGAATTGGAAAATTTGAAGAAAGAGTTGGAAATTGCAAGGGTGAAAATCGGGGAGTTTAGGAATAGAGCGGAACAGGCTTCCAGTAGAGCCGAGGCAGCTGAAAAGGTTAAAATGGCACTTGAGGATCAGATGAAGAATTGGAGAGAGCAAAGGCAACGGAGAAAGATCGCCTTGGCTGCCCTTCGGGAGGAATCGTTTCCCAAGGAAAGCAGCAGTAGCTTTAGCTATGAGCAGCCTCCTAAAAACTATCAGCCACTCGGTAAGGTTCTCAACATGAAATTCTAGTCTCACAACTTAAATTATTGAGGTTAACTGATTTGGCCACCAATTTTTTTTGTTCTCCTAAAATAGAAAAATTAAAAAAAAAAAATTGTGTACGAAATATGCTTGAAGTGGGTGATATCTGATATCCTGTCCTATTAATGAACATTTATCAGTTCTGTTGGCTTAAATTTTATCATGAGAAAGTTGAATGAAGTATGTGAGGTTACAAATTGCACAAATGCTCTAGTTTTTTCTTGCTTGCTTTGCACAATATTTTGAATCGCTGACTTTGGCTTTCTATCTCTATATGCATGTCTGATAACTGCTCAATTTTTGCCCGTAAAAATACTATATTTGATGTTGTAAATACCATCACCAGCCCTATAGGCACAAATTGCCATTCCCATGCCCTAGTGCTACAATAATTGTGAACTGTCTCAAATAAAAACAAGAAAGGAAGTCTTGCTAAACAATCGTTTAGGGTTGCAACGAAACATGGCGAAGATGCGCCTTAATTTGACACAAAAGTCCCTTTGTATCCTACAAAAGATACATAGGCGTGTCTTTTGGGTTTTTTAACCACAAGGATGACTAAGAGTATCATGATTCCACAGAATCCACTCGCTATAGAGGCCACTATCACAATGAAGATTGCGAAAAAAACACTCAAACCTTCTAGGCTTTTTTGGCTTCCCTTCATTGTTTGTTGTTAGCTATATGTGGAACAATGGGTTAATGTTGAGAGCTGTTTAGTTACTAGGATTAACGCAAGAAATGTTGAACTTGCTCAGTCCAGATAAATTGTTCAAGCTGATTGGGTAAGTTCCAGAGAAATTGGCATATGACGAAGGTTTTGTAAGCACACATACAACAAAAAACATTGAAAGAAGATGAAGAGGGAGAGAAAATAGTGAAAAGTCCATGTTGCCCTAGAAGATGGTTGCGTGTGGCGCATGTGCCATTTTTGTCAAAAAACAAGACAACAGCCATCAATTGTCCTTTGTTGACACAATGTTAAAATTTTAGGTTAAATGTGTCACAATTAAAAATTGAGTGTTCAAATTGACAGTAAATTTCATTAACATGATGTGTTTTTAAGACTTTCAGGACCAAACATGGAATACATATTTCAAGTAATTTTATCCTAATCTTGATATATGAGCATAGAGGCTGAACATGTCATTCGTGTATGGATATATATGTGTGTGTTTAGATTATCGCAAGTTGGTCATCTCAATTTGAAAGAGTATTTGGGTTTGGTGAGCCCATTTTGGGGCCGACCTTGGTGATTTGAACCATTCACTTTTTAGTACTTATTGAGTAAATTATTCATGCAAAAAAATAAGGTGATCGGCTATCGGTAACTATATGTTTTAATCGTATTTGTATTACAAAAATGATGTCTACTCTTGAAATTATAAATGTCGTCTATTTTTTCAAACAAATGTGATTCAAATATATAGTTACCTATGTTCAATCATCTTACTCAACGAGTCTTAAAAAATACACAATTCAAATTATCAAAATCAACCCCAAGATAGACCTACCAAGACCAAACACACTCAAGTTGGATGTCTTTCACCTTGAGAGAATCCAATTCCCATATATAAATATGGGTTCTCCTTTGGCGGGCACACCCTTACCACAAAATGTGTAATCTCGACACAAATTAGCGTAACAAAAATATCATAACAAAGCCACAAACTTTTTCAACATCAACCACAAAATTGTGGACAATTTGGTAAGCCAACTTGTAGTAAGGTTACGCATTTTGTGATTGATATTACGAAATTTTGTGATAAAATTACACATTTTGTGGTAGGGTATATATGGTATGCACCCCTAAAGGGATACACACTATAGCATATTCCTGGACTTTGATCATCTCCATTACATGTATGTAATGGAATATTTCCATTACATATCTAATACTAGGGTTGCTCGCGGTTTGGTTTTGGACGATTCGGTTTGCAGTTTGGACCTGCCCGTATATGTATGATTTGGGAAAAATTGAACTCGTAACCGCCTGGAGTGCAAGTAGCAGATTGTGCAGATAAGATTCGCGAATGTGCGGACGGCTGCGGGAGGATTGTGGATTAGACTTTTTTCTTTAAAAAATTATTTTTGGGCATTTTTTTTCCTTTTTGTAAATATCTATTTTGGACCATTTTTTCCCTATTTATTAATAATTAATGAATTAATACTTATAAAATTAAAAACACAACAAAATTAATTCTTAACCCAAGCAAATCATTCAAAATCGTAAACTAAATTATCAAAATCATTCACTATCCAACAATACAATTAAAGTAAAATCATTCAAAATCCTAAGCTTATCTAAAAGTAATTCTTCATTAACTTTTACATTTATCCAGAATGCAATAATAAAATAATAAAAAATTGTTATCAAATTTCATCCCATTCAAACCTATTAAATAGAATAAAAATATTTGCAAACTTGTAAACCCCATCATAAAAATAAAAAAATAAAAAAATCTAAATGCGGGTGGATTCTTGCTGGTGCGGATAAAACTCGTAACCCGCCCGCAATTTGCAATAATGCCATATTCCGAACTGCATCCACCCACATTGTGTCTGTGAAAACCTCCATTTGTATGTGGATCGGTTCAGGTTAGGCGGGTTGGATAACCCTATACCCAACTCTATCTAATACTATAAAATAGGAATGTAAATTTATAATTATTTTAGATTAAAAAAAGATCATAACATTTATCATTGAATGATATAATAGAATTTCTCCATTACAAATATGCAATGGAGAGGATCACAATCCCATTTGCCTATATATATATATATTACATTAATTTCAAGGTCTTGGCCTTGATTTGAAGTTATAAAATCTCATGCAAACTTACACAACTTATTCGTAGTCTTGGTCATTTTTTTGAAAAATCAAATCTCCTTCTCGTGTTGTCATGCATGTTATGCAAACTCAATTCACACCATTTAGTCTTTGGTCTTGCTTTTGAAAATGTATTCCCTATCTAGGAAGTATATAGGGTCGGCAGCAATGAAATATTGAAAGCATCTATTTTATTTTTATTTTCCAAAAAAGTATGCTGGTCAAATGCCCCTATTATCTAAAGTGATGTGGCTTGGTCATATATTTCTCTATTTGGATTTGGGTATGATATCACATTGTCTGTTTAATATGGCTATTAGGATTTCTGGTCTTGGCCTTGATTTGAAGTTATAAAATCTCATGCAAACTTACACAACTTATTCGTAGTCTTGGTCATTTTTTTGAAAAATCAAATCTCCTTCTCGTGTTGTCATGCATGTTATGCAAACTCAATTCACACCATTTAGTCTTTGGTCTTGCTTTTGAAAATGTATTCCCTATCTAGGAAGTATATAGGGTCGGCAGCAATGAAATATTGAAAGCATCTATTTTATTTTTATTTTCCAAAAAAGTATGCTGGTCAAATGCCCCTATTGTCTAAAGTGATGTGGCTTGGTCATATATTTCTCTATTTGGATTTGGGTATGATATCACATTGTCTGTTTAATATGGCTATTAGGGTTTCTATAGTTTAGTCTGTTTTGCATCACAATCACCCAATATACCTATTATATAAGGTTAATAAGTATCATTAGTTCCTTTGTCTACTATTGGTTTGCTTTCTCTTTTTTTCTTTGCTTTTCTGTTTTTATATATATATATATATATATTTTAATTGGAGGTGGAATATAATTATCAAGAATCTATGATTTTAAAAGCTAACGCCACAACCAATTAGGGTTTCAAATATACAAATTTAAAGATAAAATTACCTTTGAAGGATAAAATATCTTAGTTGTTAGAAGTGTTATTGTTACAATTTTAGTGATGAAATTAGATATTTAATCATGAACTTCTATCTCTTGGAACTAAAATTTTCGTCTTAAGAAGTAAATATTTTTTGCATGAAATTATTTTATTTCATAAAATATATTTATTAGCGATACTTTCAAAATTTTGTCGCTAAAAATTATTTTTTTAGCTTTTCAGAACAACTTTTTAGTAACGACTGCAGTGACATAGTTTTCACTTTTGAGGACAAAAATGTTTGGTCCTTGAAACATTTATACGTTGTAGTGTGAGAAATCTAAAAGATAAGTAATTACTATGTCTTCTAGGAATAATACCTTATTCATGTGTCATAGTTTGAAAAATAAAAATAATAATAGACAACTCACAATATTGGTTAGATATATGGCCAAGTAATATTTTGAAACCATGGGGGTGTTTGGGATAATTTTTTTTTTGGCTTTTTTGGTTAAAATAGCATTAAAAGACAAAATAAGCTAAAATAGTTAATAAAATAAAATGTCACATCAAATCCATAATTATTTCACTTTTTTTTTACAAACATCACATCTAATTATAAAAAAATTTAACTTTCTTTTCAAACATAAAAATTTTAACCTCTTAAAATAGTTAAAAACTAAAATAGCATACTAAAATAATAACTTCTCAAACACCCACATAATAATTTATGCTAAAAAGCCACTTTGAAATATTCGGTAGGAAATTTTTGTCATCACATATTCATGTTGCTTTCTTCATGTCTCCTTTTGGAGATTGAGTTCATGTTCACTCAATAAAACATGGCGTTTCTAAGCTTTAAATGAATGACTCTTGTGTAAATGTTTTTGTTTGTGTAGTGACACTTAAAAGAATAAAAAAAGAGAAAAAGTGTGATGACACTATATCAGGGCTGGCTTTGAGTTTTCGGGTTAAGACGAAATAATTTTTTGGGACCTTTTTAGATATTTAAAAAGAATAAAAATAAAAATCACTCTGTTTGATTTAAAGTTTTCAAAAGGGGGATTTGGTCATAGCTCCCTCACTATCTAATTTCTCTTTCAAAAGGACAAGAATTATATAAGTACTTTCAAAACCCCCTGATATTTTAAAATTTATTTCTTTTACTATATTACCCTCATATCTATCAGCTCTTCTATTAAGACATTTTCACTATGTATTTCAGAGTAAAATTTTACTCTGTATGAAAGTAAAATTTTACTCTGAATGAGAGTAAAATTTTACACTCTGAAACTAAAAGTAAAATTTTACTCTGTATAAAAGTAAAATTTTACTCTGTATAAAAGTAAAATTTTACTTTCATACAAAGTAAAATTTTACTTTTAGTTTCAGAGTGTAAAATTTTACTCTCATTCAGAGTAAAATTTTACTTTCATACAGAATAAAATTTTCTTATTTTAGAGT